CAAATAATTCCCCCATTTTCAGCTTCTGTGGTTCTGGGGAGGCTGGAGGTGACTGGGATGATCCAGCTGCAGGATTGGGATGAGAGGCAGATCCAGGAGGAGACAGATGTTGCCTTTCCCAAATGCAGATAAAGAACAAAACATCTTCTCTTTCTTCCTGCAACCCTTCCATAAGGCAGAGATCCTGGGATAAAGCAGAGCACGGGAAGAGGCAGCATTTCCCATAAACTCCCTGTCTCCCACTGTTTTACAGAGTTAAAAATGTAGTGTTTTATTTAGGATTTATGCTCTCCCAGCATTTTAAAGATGGAAAGGGCTGGAGCTGAGGTTGCCAAAAGGGGAAGCATTTATAAATCCCTGGTTTTATTTCCTTTCCCTGAATGTGATAAAGTGGGAGCTGCTCAGCTTCTGTCACCAGCAGTGCCACAAACCCGGGACAGAGCTGCTGCAATTCCCATGCATCAAACTCCAAGGAATTGGCAGAACTTTGTGGGGAGATGAGGAGGAAACAGATCAGGAAATTATTCCTTGGATGCTCCGTGTCCTCACAATTCCCACTGTTTGTTCCTGTGGGGCAGGAATCGGCACCAATCCCACCCTGAGGGATCTGGGATATTTAGGGACACGGAGTCTGGGGCAGTTGTGGCATTGCTGAGATCCCTGGGATGGTCTTCTCTCATCCCAGCTGGAATTTGCAGTGCCCAGTCCAGCAACAATTCCTTTAAGAGATTCTTTTCCTCAGGGATAAATGGCTGAGTGATCCCAAAGAAACACCGGAAGGGGAATCCTGGCTGATGATTTTTTCTAAAAGGGAGCAGCTGAACCCCTTTCGTTTTATCTTAAAAACTAAAATTCCCAGGCCTTTAGGAATAAGGAATGTGGAATCCAAGGATGCAGAATGTTTTTAGATGAGGCTTTCATGGGCTACAGATTGACAGCTGCGAAATGCAGGTGTCAGAAACAGCTGGTCCTGAGCCAGATTTATTGTCTGAGATCCCAAGATGATGGAGATGGGAGCACCTCAGGGAAAGCTGGGCTGAGGAAGCCACGGAGCCAACCATGAAATCCTCGTGGAAAACAGCTCTGGGTTTGGAGGTGGAGTGGGAAATGGAGAGAGGGATCCTTTGCACCAGAGTGAAATCAAACTCCAGCTCCCAGATCCGCTCAAACCGGCAGAATTGGGATAGGAGCCGCTCTGCCTCCTGGAGCTCCATCGAGGGATGAGAGCAAATGGTCTTGGAAGCTCTGGATTAGGACACTTCAGTCTGTTTTGTGAATCAGGGGGAGTTTGGGGGATTGCAGAGCTGGGAGGGGGATGGAGTTTCCTTGCTTTGAACAACTTTAAATACAGGGAAGGAGAGAGGGACTTTGGATAAAGGCCTAGAGCGCTGGGACAAGGGGAATGCATCAACCCGCTTCTGTTCAGGACATTTCTCCAGCCTTTAGATCCTGGTGGAGGTTGGGATGAAGCAGCTGGAGTGACTTTTCCATTTGCTTGGATTCTCTAATTCAATGCCACTGTGATTTCATCCCATTTTTGACCTTACACTGGTACAGAGCTGGTGGAAGATGTTTGGATGTTTGGATGCACTGCCTGGAGGGATTGAATGCTGCACAACAAATGCTCATGACTGAAAATGTTCAGCTGGAGAAGGGAAGGCCCCAGGGAGAGCTCAGAGCCCCTTGCAGGGCCTGAAGGGGCTCCAGGAGAGCTGGAGAGGGACTGGGGACAAGGGATGGAGGGACAGGAGCCAGGGAATGGCTGCCAGTGCCAGAGGGCAGGGATGGATGGGAGATTGGGAATTGGGAATTGCTGGCTGGGCTGGAATTGCCAGAGCAGCTGTGGCTGCCCCTGGATCCCTGGCAGTGCCCAAGGCCAGGCTGGACACTGGGGCTGGAGCAGCCTGGGACAGTGGGAGCTGTCCCTGCACATGGAAGGAAGGGATGGGATTTAAGGTCCCTTCCAATCCAAACCATTCTGGGATTCTGGGATTCATCATCTTTTTATTTCTCTTCCAAACTTTGTTGGCCAATGTTGCTCTGGTGGGGTGGTAGCTGATTTGGAGGGGGTTTGTCTGGAATCACAGAATTCAAGGATGAATCAGGCTGGAAGGAGCCACAGAGGTTCCCTGGGGCCACTCCCTGCTCCAGCAGGGCCATCCCAGAGCCCAGGGTACAAGAGTGTGTCCAGGTGGCTCTGGAATATCCCAGGAGGAGACTCCAGCCCCAGCTCCCTCAGCCTTTCCTGGTCACAGAGATGCTCCAGCCCTTCCTCATCCTCACATCCCTCCTCTGGAGCAGATCCAGGAGCTCCAGGTCCGTGTCCTGCTGATCGCAGAGCTGGACCCAGGATCCCCAAGGATGAAGACTCCACAAACTCTGGAGCACCTGGGCTTCGAGGTGGGAAGCCCATTAAGAGCTGAGATCCCAGAAACCTCCCACATTCCTGTCATGCCAGCCACAAATGATCTTCCCACCCCAAAATCCACATCTTCCCAACCTCCAGGCTCCCAAACATGAGCTGAATTTCCTGTGTGATCCAACCCGACTTCTGCTTCCATTAAAAGCTCTGGAAAGCCTCGGAGAAAACCGACAAACCAACATCCTCGCATCCCTCCAATGGATCATATCCAGGAGCTCCAGGCCCCTCCCGTCCCATGGATCCAGAACGAAAGGCTTTGGGGACAAAGGACATTTCCGAGTTCCCCATAACTCCCACACTTCCAGAAGCCACCTCTGCTTTCCCTGCGCTCCAAACCCCATCCCCGCATCCCAAAGTTTACAAGGGAAGCTCTTCGGCGTTGTGCCGTTGAATTTCCAGCCTCTCCATTCCCAGTGTTGTTTTCACAGGGATTTTGGGATAATGCAGCTCCTCACGACGCCTCATTATTCCCCAAAGGTGCCGGTGTTGTTCGAGTGCCCCTCTTGTGACAAGTGGCTCATTACGGCTCCTCTCAGCCCCCCCCAGAGATACCATTATATCCAGCCACACTGGAAGTGGGAAGAGGATAATTTGCATCCAGTGTGAGCCTTTCCCATTATTCCCACTTCTCAGGAACAAGGAAAACAAATCGTCTCCACCGCTGCTCCCTTTTTATTCCCGCCGCAGTCCCTTTCTTCCAGCGGCGGTTTTGCTTTGCTCCCTCTCCTTGGAATATTGTTTGCTTCTCCACTCCGGGCTAATTGAAGGTGCTCCTTCCCAGGGAAATTGGGAAAAATATCTTGGCTAAAAGGGCTTATTATCCTTGGAAAAGAAAAGCGTGGTTGGAGAGAAAAGCTGGATCAATAATTGGTGTTTATTCCCGGGATTTTGCCTTTGTTCCTTTGCATTTTGGGGTTTTTTTTGAGGCATTTTTTCCCTCCTCTTCTCGCTTTCCTGCTGATGGAAATTGTCCCATTTGGAATTTGAAATGCCTCTAATCCCTCTCTATTTCCACCTGGATCAGAGATAGTTTTGAGGAGAAAATACCTAAATTCAGTGTTTGTTTTGTCACAAACTCCTAAAATCCCAATTAAGGGGAGTAATGAGTCCATACCCCTCCCATATTCCATGTGACAGGCCGTCCATGTTTTCCCAGGGTTTTCCAGGCCTTTCCCAATAATTCCCAATGCCAAATCCCTGCACAGGTACAGCTGTAAGTAGAAACTTTGGGAAGTGGAAAATCCTCATCTTGCTTTGGATTTTCTCTAATAAAAAGCTTCTTTTGGACCTTTCCAGTGGGAGAACACACAGAAATGTTTTGGTTTTCCAGGTTTTCCCTGATTTTTGGATATTTTAAGTGGTAAAATGGAGCACAGCAAAGCCTGGATTGGGTTTGTCCCCATCCTGTTTCTCATGGATGGGGCAAGGATGGATGTATTCCACGAAAGATCTTGGAATTATGGAATGGTTTGGGTTGGAAAAGGCCGCAGGAAGGGACATTTTTGATGACACCAGGTGGCTCCAAGCCCCATCCAACATGGCCTTGGACAATTCCAGGGATGGAATATCCACCCCACCCCTTGGCAAATGCTCTCCGTGGATTTAAGTCAACATGAACTGAAGTTTAGTGGATTTAGGAATGTTTTGTCCTCCCTTTGGGAACTCATCCTTAGTTTTTCCCACATTTATGAGGGATGAAGGCTGGGATGTGCTGGTGATCCCTTCATTTTCCCAGTTCCCTGGGAGATTCCCTTTTCCTGCTTTGTCCAAACCACAACTAAACGATGCCCTGCAAGATCAGGCACCTCTCCAGGTGCTTCAGGACAACTCCAGAGCCTTTCCACTTGGGAATGTTGAGGGGAAAGGTGGGATGGAGGCAGCAGCAGCCACTGGGAATATCCAAATCCTATTCCAATGCCATCCAGCTCTGAGATGGCATTTCCTGTCATTTATTTGTGCCTGGAGACTCCTGGTGTAGTTTAGGAGGGTTTGGGGCTCTATTTTGGCAGCAATGCAGAGATGCCAACCTGCCTTTGCCACTGGATCCATGAATTTTTCCTCTTCCATGCCTGGAGGAGGGAAATAGCGATAGAGGCAGAGCACGGCCGTGAATCCTTAAAAAAAGGTGGATGGAGGAAAATAATCATAAAATGTGGCTCTGGAAGAAGATATTGAACAAAATCACTCCAAACACCAGGAGAGGGATGGGCAAAGTTGGAATTTAACCCTTGGATCCTCAGAATGAGGAGATGGATCTCAAGCCTTGGATTTCGGAGTGAGGAGTTGGCTGCAGTTGGATCTCAGCCTTTGGATCCTGGGAATGAGGGATCTCAACCCTTGGATTTCAGGACTGAGGGGTGGCTGCAGCTGGATCTCAACCCTTGGATCCTGGGAATGAGGGGCTACTGTTGGAACCCTTGGATCGGGAATGCCCAGCTGCAATTATTTCCCGATGATTTCCCTGTGTTTTCCCTCCTTTTCCCAATGGATGGGTGAACTCTTGGCTGGTTGAGTTATTCCCTGGCTGCCTGGCCATTCTGTGATTTCTGGTTTCCCTAATTCCATCCTTTTCCCGCAGGAAAAGCCTACGCCCCGGAATTCTACTACGACACCTACAACCCGCTGTGGCAGAACCGGCCGCGGGTCTATTCCTACAGCCTGCAGTGGACGCAGATGAATCCCAACGCCGTGGATCGGATCCTGGCCTATCGCCTGGGAATCCGCCAGGTGAGATGGGAATCGCCCAGGCAGGATCTGCCTTTGGAGCCTCCTGGGCTCTGGGATATCTGCTGAGCCTTTGGGGAATTCTGGTTTATTTTATTTTATTTTATTTTATTTTATTTTATTTTATTTTATTTTATTTTATTTTATTTTATTCTATTTTATTCTATTTTATTCTATTTTATTCTATTCTATTTTATTCTATTTTATTCTATTCTATTCTATTTTTTATTCTATTTTATTCTATTTTTATTCTATTCTATTCTATTTTTTATTCCATTTTATTCTATTTTTATTCTATATTTTATTCTAGATTCTATTCTATTTCATTTTATTTCTTTTTATTTCATTTCATATTACTTTATTTTACTTTATTTTTATCTTATTTCATTTCATTTTATTAATTTCATTTTATTTCATTTTATTTTTATATTATTTTATTTTATCTTATATTATTTTACTGCTTTTAAAATATATTTTTAAAATTTTATTCCATTTTACTTTATTTCTGTTTTACTTTTTCACTGTATTTTATTTTACTTTATTATCTTTTAATATTCTATTATTTATTTTATTTTATTTATTTCACTTAATTTAATTTAATTTTTATTGAATCTTATTTTAATTTTATTTTATTTTACTTTATTTTCTATTTTCCTTTTTCACTTAATTATTTTATTTTATTTTATTTTATTTTATTTTATTTTATTTTATTTTATTTTATTTTATTTTATTTTATTTTATTTTATTTTATTTTATTTTATTTTATTTTATTTTCCCAGACCATTCCCACAATCCATCCACCTGGAAGTCATCCTTGGCCTCCACATCCTTCTCCAACTCATCCTTCTCCATTTTCCTCCTTCCTTGGGAGCATCCAGCTGATATTTTTTGGGAATTTTGACAGCCTCCCACTGAATAATTCCCCAACAGATTGATCCTGAAAATCTTTCTTTGGAATTGATCCTGAAAATCTTTCTTTGGATATTCAGCACCTGGAATAATCATTTGGGCGGGGACGTGGAGGGAAAGGACTCAAACGGATTTTGCAGAGGGATATTTTGGAAAATATAAGGAAGAAAATAGTTTGTTATCCCACAGATTTCCCACTGGGATGAGCTTTGGAAAAACAGATCCTCAATTTAAGCATTTTGTTTATTGGGATTTGTGCTTGGACAGCCTCCCTGGAAGTTCCTGGGACACGCCCAGGGAAGGGCTCTGGTGCCTGGAGGGGGCTGGAGTTGGGATCGTCCTGAATCCAAGGAATTAGCGATGAAAACGGGGATGTTTAATCCATGTTTATGCAACTCCTGGCATTGCTGGATTGCTCCGGGATTCCCAGGCCCTGAGACAAATCGGGAAATTCTGGAAAGAACTCACTGAAGGAAAGGAATTTCTAATGGAATCAATTGCGTTAGGAATTTTAGCTGATTTTCCCATTTCATTTTAATTTCATTTTAATTATCTGTTTATGGAATTAACGGAGTTACTCTGCGCCAGCCTAATCCAAATATTCCCATTTTTCTTCCCCAAAGCCCCATTTCTTTGGGAATTCTATCCCAGCCTCTCCTCACCCTCCCAGCCAGGTATTCCTTCCCAATATTCCACTGATCCTGGCTGAGTCACAGAACCGTGTGACACATTCCTGTCACATCCCGCTTCTCTGTTGTCACGGGAATGAAGAGAAATTCCAGCCTCAGAGAGGGATTCAGTGCTGGGAAAGCAGGACACAGGGAAAACCTCTGGAATTCCAAGCATTGGTTAAGGAGAATTCCAAGAAAACCATCACGGATAACGTTATAAATAGCATCTGATAAAATAACTGAGCTTGGCTGACAGGTCAGGAGGGGAGGGAAGAGGAGTCACAAAAATTGAATTGTCAATTGAAGGAATTGTCAATTTTCTGCCTCTGGAGTGGGAATGGAAAGATGGGAAAGTGGGAACTGAAATCTCCCAGGAGAAATGGATTTATTTGAGCACACTGCAGGAATTCTGCAGATTCCTTCTCTCAGGATGATGGGCATCATCACATCTGCTCCAGAGGGGAAGATGTTTGCAAGCTGGGAATTTTCAGCAAATCCATTGGATTTGCTCTGGGACATGAAAAATATTGAAACTTTTCTTCAGAAACAGTCACAAAAATTACATTTGTAGCAATTAATTCAGTGAGGGAAGAGAGAGAGAGTTGGAGCTCCATGTTTTTATTGGAATATTCCTCACGTTGTTCCCATAAAGGATTTTAATCTTCCTCCTCCAAGGGAATGTTTTCTGTCCCAAAGATTTCCCTGCATGCATTGATTTTGGAAATCTAAAGAGGCTTTATTTGTTTTTTGTGGAATGAAGGAGGGAGAGCTTGGCCAAAAAGGAAAGAAAAAGAGACTGTGACATGCAGGGACACGTTTTTTATTGATGCTCCTGGCTTTGGGAAATTAAATTAGAGCAGGAATGGTTGTGATTCCCAATTTCCACTTTTCAGGGCTGATTCCTCCTGTGCTGCTTCTTCACAGCTCTGAGGCTGCATTTGCAAACAGCAAGGTGAGGTTTGGACCAGGTCTGCTCCTGCCAACTTAAAACCGGTTCTAAGCTTCAGGTGGATCAGGGAAATGTTTATGGATCATGCTGAAAATAAAATTTCTCCTCATTTTGCCTTAAGGAGTTCAGAGCTGGCAGTTGGAACTCCTCTGGGGAAAGGCTGGGAGAGCTGGGAATGCTCACCTGGAGAGGAGAAGGATCCAGGGAGAGCTCAGAGCCCCTTGCAGGGCCTGAAGGGGCTCCAGGAGAGCTGGAGAGGGACTGGGGACAAGGGCTGGAGGGACAGGAGCCAGGGAATGGCTCCCAGTGCCAGAGGGCAGGGATGGATGGGAGATTGGGAATTGGGAATTGCTGGCTGGGCTGGAATTGCCAGAGCAGCTGTGGCTGCCCCTGGATCCCTGGCAGTGCCCAAGGCCAGGCTGGACATTGGGGCTGGAGCAGCCTGGGACAGTGGGAGGTGTCCCTGCCCATCCAGGATGGGATTTAAGGTCCCCTCAAGTGTCCGTGGGGAATGTTCCATAAAATTCATATGTGACACCATCAGAACCCCTGGTCTGGATCTTAGACCAACTCAGGAGGTTCCAACCCCCCCTGCATGGAGCATTTATGGAAAAAGGAGCTGGAAGGCATCCACTGGGACCCATCAAGTCCAACCCCTGGACCTGTCTTTGAGAGCCTTTGGGCTCTGAGTTTCCGGGCAGGACCTCACCCCGTCCGTCAGCGGCGCACTGGGATGTGCTTTGGGATTTATTTGGTGGCCAAAGGAATCAGCCGTAAAACCGGGACATGTGACGCTGCCAGGACACCTGCTCTACATCCTAGAGCAGCTCAGGAGGTTCCAAATCCTCCTGCATGGAGCATTTATGGAAAAGGGAGCACAGGGAATTCCCATTCCTCAGGGGCCCTGCTGGGCACAGCACTTCTCTCCCTGAAGGATGGAGGCAACTTTGGTGTCCCATCGGGGGAACTGCCTGGATTTGCTGACCCTCAGCTTCCTTGGGAGTGTGCCAAGGCCTGACAGGACATTCCTGCACAGGAGGGACATTTTTCCATCTCCTTAAGAGCCCTCTGAAGAATATTCCAGCAGCAATGCGTTCCAAGGATGCATTTTTGCATTTCCTTTTTGCATTTCAATGGTGTATTTTTGTATTTGGCTTTGGAATCAGCGACCCAGATTCTTCCAAGTTTTTTTTTCCTTTTCCAAGCATCCCTGTGTGTATTCCCTGGTCAGCCTTTGGGGACACCAACACTCCAGGAGTTGATTTTATTAAGTGTCCGGTCATGGAATATTTCGGTTGGAAAAGCCCTCTCAGCCCAGCAAATCCAACCTTTCCCCAGCACTGCCAAGGCCTCCACATGTCCCCAATCCACACTTCCAGGATGGCAACTCCAGCTCTTCCTGGGGCAGCTTGTTCCAAGAAAATGTTTTCCAGAACATGGTCCCAAATTCCCCTTGGAGGGTTCCTCTGCTCCTGGAAGTTTATCCACCCCGACAAAAACACTTTTGGACCTCCCCTTCATGGAGCTCAGTTTGGAGCAGCCATGAATATCCTCATGCTTTTCCATGAGCTTCACCTGGAGATCCCAGAGCAGCTCCGTCCCTGCAGCTGCTCCAACCACCTCTGGCTCCCTCTGGCACCACGTGGAGATGTTTCCTTCCCACGCTTTGCCCATCCCCAAGGCCAGATTCCCATTTCTTCCCAATAAACGACAACATTTAGCGGCTCCCAGCATCCGAGGAGCGCCAGGCGGGCGCCTCCAGCTCTCTGATATTTCCTGTCAGCAGGATGAAAGCGAATTGAGCCAGGGAGACTTTTCCAGAGCAGCCAGGAAGGGTGTGCAGCTCTGATCTCCGTGGTGGCTGCTCTCAGCAGGTGACGGCGGGTGACAGCCACGTCCCCGCAGCCGCCGTGGCCTAGAAAAGGAACGGCTCCGCTGTGAAGGAGTCATAAAAATTCAGCTGCTCCCTGTAAACCAGAGAGCAGCTTGTTCCAGCTTGTTACATAAAAGATTCAAGCTCCCACCTTTCCTTTATTCCCAGCCCCGGGAGCTTGCGGCGTCCGTGGCTTGGGAATGAGAATCTCTTCCAACAGCCCCGAGCAGGGCGCGGCTCTGGAGCTTCCTCTTGGTCACCCTTTGGGCTGGGTGGATTTTTAACTTCTGCTGTCACCCAGCACTGAGCAGGGCCAGGTTGATTCAAATATCCTGGGAAAGGGTTCCTGGGAAGGCTGAGTGGCCACTGGCTGGAAAACAGAGATGGGAATTTTCTGTCGGTGCCACAGCTCGGATCCCCTAGCCCTGGATAAATGGCTATGGATGAAGGGAGTGAGGGTACATTTATTGTCTTTCGGAGTAAAGAATCCCAGAATCCCAAAATGTTGTGGCTTGAAAACCCAAATCCCATCCCACCCCTGCCATGGCAGGGACACCTCCCACTGTCCCAGGCTGCTCCAGCCCCAATGTCCAGCCTGGCC